AACATAATTTACGGACTAAAAGCCTACATTATCGACAAAAACCGTAATTTGGAACGAGCAACATTTTACGCTAAATTACAGCGATACAGACAGTCATTACTTAATTAACTAAAAATCGCGGGTTACTCACGTGAATATACTGAGAAAAGCTCTACTAGTTTCGAACCACAGAGGGGTTCTTCCTCATGAGCATGCGCGGTCGCGGCGCAGCCTACTGTCGCCGCCTCTGGTAGAGCTTTTTCAGTATAGTAAGTAGTCTCACGATAGTAATTATAAAAAGTCATATACTTTTACATTTCAGACTGCCTCGTTGGCCGAGGTGTCGCAAGTACGACTGCCGGCCAAGGGGTCTCGGGTTCCATTCCCGGGTCGGGCAAAGTATTACTGGGTTTTTAAAAAATTCTCAGAAGTAGCACGGAGTCTGGAATTGTGCCCGGTATATAGCAATAGGCTCACCCTCTATTACATGGGACTCATAACATAAACAGTGAAAAGTAGGTGTTACATTGTAAAGTGGTATAATGTGCACCTCTGCCTACCCCTTCTGGGATAAAAGGCGTGATGTTATGTTTTACATTTTTATTATTAGCATTAGGAGACTGATTAGTGTTATTGAAAAAAATTCTTAGGTTTTTTATCTTTGTGTACAAGCTAGCAATCTACAATAGCAATCTACATAAAAAAGGCAAAGAAAAATGGCCTCTTGTCTCCAGAAAAATTAGGTTTCATCGATAAGTTGGACGCCTGAAATTTATAATGCCTAGTTTTACAGATTATTTACAATTCACTGAATCTGTGTACTGAATATTATCTTTTTATTTTAACGAGGTACGATTTGTTATTGAAGATTGTTGTCGCTGAAAAATTGCCTTTATTATTTTTATATTGAAGCCCATTTTAGAAAAATATCGTAGCTTATCTGAAATCTATTTGGAGTTTCATATTTTTTAGTAGGTACAAATTAACCATATTTTATGTCGAATTCTATATACCTGCTTATAACCAACTGATTATTATTATGTTAATAGTACATGCTTGTAGGTTTCTTGTATTTTTTTAAAGTTTGCCCCACATTAGGATTTTCTCCTGTATCGTGGGTGCATTTATAAACATACAATTTCACAAACACATAACACTCAGACCCGAAACAACAATCTGTGGATCACACAAACAGTTGCTCCATGCGGGAATCGAAACCGCTACATGTTGCGCGGCAGCCAGTTACCCAGCCACCGTATTAACCGTGAAGTCAGGATTCAATACTAAACTCAAACATGTTTTATATTCTCAGATAACTTCACAAAACACTTACTAAGTACTATAAACGCCCCTACTCACCTATTCATGTATTAACATTACGTTGAGTTACTACTGAATAACATTACACAAACATTCTGATGTTCTATTATAAGTATTATTGTATAATTTTTGTTGTGCCTAATTATGAATGATTTGATTGTTATTAATTAATTTTGTTTAGTTTAAATTTAAAAATTGTATTTCATAATTTTATTTAACTAATTCAATAATTTTGCATGCCGTAAGGCAAAATGTACTGGGATTCTCCATAAGTTATAAAACAACATATTTGTTACCTACATTTTTGGCAAATAAATTATTTCTAATTTCTAACATTTCTAACTCAAAACCATCCCCAACTACACTGCACCACCAAACAAAACACCACATTTATTTCAAACAATTGCAAAACAACATCAACTGCAAACAATAGAAATTCATTCATTCATACAACTTATTCATCTCGAATAAACAAACCAAATAACGGGTGAAATAAAATCATAAAACCATCCCCTTTGCCGGTTATATCCAGTTTGATCCGGATAAATCCGGATAATCTTGAAAAATGCGACTTGTATCCGAGGTGGGGGGTTGATAACATTCTAAGGACCCATGGGTGACATTGTATTGGTTAAGATATTAGCCTTATGATTAATTCAAGGATAAGAGCAACGATATCTCATGACTAGTTTTAGTTTAGGGGTAGGCAGCGGTTGCTTTAACACTACATAGTATAAAACAAAGTCTATCCGCCGTCTATTTGAAACTCAAACTCAAAAGCATTTATTTCAATTAAACCATAATTTGGTACTTTTGAAACGTCAACAAATATGAGATATATAATAGTCTGTCAGTCTGTCCGTCAGTGAAGCTAGGCGCTCGTTCCAAAATGTCGATTCGAGTGGAGAAGAACGAGCAAGAAACTCCATTCGTTACTCTTTTAAAAAAAAGTCTGTTTTACATTGCTCTGATACATATTCCAATATTGTACACACATGTGAGAATAATGTAAAGACATACCTGACGCATCATACAAATAACAGAACATACTAAAATAAAAAACCAAAACCAAGAGAAAACAAATATCTTAAGTCTGACATGGTCCTCACATATGTGTGCTGTCCCTATGTATGCTTTGATCTTTAAAACTACGCAATGGATTTTGATGCGGTTAGAAGGAAGGTTTATTCGTATAATACATGCATATTGCACCCGTGCAAAGCCGGGGCGGGTCGCTAGTTATAGAATATTTTAAAAGTGGTGTTAAAATGGATCTCTAAACTTAGATTCAATTAAGTCTTTCGAACAACTTTATATACGAATTGGGAGTGTAATTACCCGACTATAGGAATGAGTGTTTCTAATGTATATAATAAAAGTTTTGTCAGACATACTACATTCGTTTTTTTTATAGCATATGCCCGGCGTAAACGAGCAGACGAATTAACTGATGGTAAGCGATCGGCGTCGCCCATGGACACCTGAAACACCAAGGCGTTACAAGTGCGTTACCAGCCTTTTGGGAATTTGGAATTTGAGGATTGTGGCGGATTTGGGGATTAGGAAGACTGGGGGGGGGGGGGTTAATTGGGCCTCCAATAACCTCGCACACACGACGAAATGCAACGCAAGCGTTGTTTCATGCCGGTTTTCTGTGAAAGACAAGGTTTTTGATACTCGCAGCTCATATTTAAGAGCAGCATGCTGTTCATAGTGCTCATGAATATGAGCATTTAGTATGGCTTAAGACCAGTCGAGCTTCTCGTCAAACAGTTACTTGAGTAAGCTGGATACATATTATTATCAACTTCTTTCTAATATGTACCGACCTACTATCATCAGTCTTCAAAGAAGACAAGTTGTACCAATACCAAAGGGCAAATTGGGTGGAGACGCTAGTGATTACAGACCGGTGGCAATTCTTTCAGCACCTGCAAAAGTATTCGAATCAGCTATACACAACAATATATACGCACAGGTTCGTAGTTACTTATCCGAAGCGCAGCACGGCTTCCGCCCGGGAAAGAGTACGACAACCAATCTACTGCATCATATGGCGACTGTCATTCCGGCAGTGGATGCTGGACTACAAGTAGACGTTGCGTACCTAGACTTCCGAAAAGCGTTCGACACGGTCGATAACGACGTCTTGCTTTGTAAGCTGGCTGATGTAGGTTTCACTCCTCACACGCTAAAATTCTTCGCTAGTTACTTGAGCGATAGACGTCAATTTGTCGACTGTGTCGGATATCATTCCGAGCCTTACTTCACAAGATCTGGTGTCAGCCAAGGAAGTAATCTGGGTCCGTTACTATTTGTTCTCATGATTAATGACTTATCTAAAATAGTTAAAGATTCCGAATGTCTGCTCTTTGCCGATGATCTTAAACTAAGTATGGTTATCAGAGATAAAAATACAGATCATAGCTTGCTGCAGCGGGACTTGGATAGGGTTATGGATTGGAGTAGGCAAAATAAATTGTATTTTAACATAGAAAAATGTTCCATTTTATCATTCACTCGGGCTCGTACCCCTAGTCATTGTTCATATCACATGGAAGGGCAATCTATACAGCGTGTAACCGAGGTTAGAGATTTGGGGATAACTTTCACTGCGGATCTAACGTTTAGGAAGCATATCACAAAAGTATGTAAGAAAGCTTATCGTAATTTAGGTTTTGTTCTGCGGCAGGCCAATGACTTCAGCAATATCAAAGCACTAAAGGCTTTGTATGAAGCATTGGTAAAAAGTCATATGGAATGCAATGCGGCTATATGGAGTCCAAATGAAGCCAAATACGCAACCATGTTGGAACGAATTCAGAACAAGTTCTTGAGATTTCTTTACTTAAAGTCATATGGAGTGTACCCGGGATATCCGCTGCTGTATCCGACATTGTATTTGCTGGGTACAGTAGGTTATTATATGCTAGAAGCTCGGCGAGAAGTAATGCTGGCTACTTATTTACATGATCTTTTACGTGGAAAATGTCACAATCCGAGGATATTGGCTGAGCTTAGGCTGTGCGTGCCGGATAGATATGTGTGGCGTCGGCGACGGCCGCAGTTGTTGGTGGTACCAACAGCCCGCACCGAGCTTCTAAAGCAAGCTCCGATGACACGCGCGATACGCACACTAAATGCAATAGCGGAGCAGATCGATTTGTTTCACTGTTCGGTGAGTGACTTCACAAGGGTAGCGTATTCGGTGATATGTTATTAATGTTATTAGGATAATTTAGTATTGTAGTTTCGTTTTAATTATATGTATTTTATGTCCTTGTATGTATGTTTGGTCTAAGGATACTGGTGTTATTAACTTTGTTTGCATGTTTTGTTTAATGTAAGTAGCTTCTCTGTCACATTAGGTTAAACCTGTAATGATAGATGTAAGTGTGATAATAAATAAATAAATAAATAAATAAAAAGTCAAGAGACGAAATAATCGACTCTAAATTCGAGGCAAAAATCAATGAATCCGTATTAATTTAATATTTGAATTATTGCATTCAATCAGGAAATGGAACTTAGAACTCTCCGCACAACTGTCTCAATCATTTCTCTACCCAAAATCAATGATTGGTAATTCATGGGTTAACTAAGTATTAAATCAATGATATTATTTATGGGTTCAATATAAATCAAATCAAATTTTGAAATCGAAATGAGCTATGAGTAATATGAGCTGTTAAAATCCTCACCTTTTTATTAATTTGTAGTTTTATTCCACCATAGCAAAGTTATTTACCTGAAAATAAAGAAAACACATGTTTAATTAAATTATACTTACTACAATATGGTTAAATTTCAAGTTGAACTTCTTAAATCAAATAGGTATTACATCTCATGATAAGTTCTTCCTTTTTAAGTAGATTAGGAATTATAAAAAGCACATAGTTTTCTTTAATTAGAAACAAAGAAAAAATCAATAATCAGCATCAGACACAATGTAGCATAAAATATAAAATAGACAATAGAAGAAGTAAGTGTAACAGTGGAAGTAAGATAAACATTGAGTTAAAAAACAGAAGAATCAAGAAAGAAACAAACGCTAAGTACATGCTTATGCTAAATGGGTAACCACTGACTCAGTGTAAGCTAGGCATACGAGTCACCCAGCACTGATTTTCAGTGGGCACCCCTGAATCGGCACGCACGATGAATTAATTGAGTTAAAATCAGTGCAAATCTTGACTAGATTCTACAGAAAAGTACTAATTTGAGATGGATCATTGTGATACTGATCATCCTTTCAGAAATTGAACAGATGTAGCAACTATCTCAAAATATATTATGTATAGCAATCTAATACATAGGTATCCATTTATCAAAGCACCTAATTAGAGAACCGAAATAAGCCCAAACTGTTATCAAAGCCATCATAATATTGATTTGGATTCGCATAAAATAAGTACTCGTTATTTCTAAAAAAGAATGTTATTACAGACACGAATCTCGTCTGAGCGTAATAATCAAGATTATCATAACATCGGAAATATATCGGAGGGACTAAAGACTTGTTCTTATGGAACAAGTAAATATACGATATAGAATATTTTGTACAGGAACGTTGGCAAAAATATCTGTTTATGACAAGTAAGTAAAATTTCTTATTATAAGTTTGAAACTGCCAATGTGCCTGTAGTAAACGTGGTGATTAAAAGTCATCGCGCACCTAACAAACACGGCTCCGGCAGGGCTCCAACCCAAAAAATTACTTGTCATTTAAATATGAACTTCACCTGGTGTCCACAGACCAATTCGGTGGTGTCACCAGTTCGAACGCCAGCACAGAATATTACTTAACTGGTCGCTCGTCCACGCTGGTCGCGCTACCACTAATTACTATATCGCGGTATGGTGTGTTATTCACTTAGTTACCAGTCCGACTGCCATGGTGGCGCGACTGGTTTCGTCGCCATGGTGTCTCGGTGAAATATAGCTCTTAATGTTGGTCATCCAGCCACTGCGTCAATTATGCAGTCTATCTATTTTGAGTAGTTTGTACAAAGCCAACGGCTTTACGTGATTTTCGAGCAACGGGAGAATCCGGAACTAGGAAACTCGTAAATCACTTTGTGTGTTAAAAAGTGCATAAAAATTTAGTAGTTTTTAGTTGATTTCATTCTCTTTTGGTAAATCTAAATTGTGTGTAGAATTATTCTGCTGAAATATGTTAGACATAAACTTAGATCGGTTTTTTAATGAGATTGGATAGCAAACTGGAAGCTATTGCCTTGTTTCGTATTACCTCCTGAAAGATTCGCTAGGGGTGCACACTGCATAATATACATACGTACCTACATATCTGCCTAAATATATAATTACATTAATCATAATTTTTAACTGAAAGCTACACAAGTAATAGGGGTGAGCCTATTGCCGTACACCAGACATAATTCTAGACTCCGTGCAATAGCACTGTTTGTAGTGTTGAAAATTATAGATCCGGAATCTAACCTGAAAATCCTCACTTTATAATCTCGCCTGTATACAAGGTGTTGTTTTAAAGCCGCGTCTTTTTCTAGGAGATAACTCGGCTATCGATTCTGAGTCTGAATCAATAAAAAAAATTGTAGGTAAATATTTTTCATTTTTCTGTAAATTACGGAAATCCGTAAGTGGTCTTATAATTGGTTTTTATAACGCGGCTTAACATACACGAACTCAAACACGTAATTGATATTATTCTTAATTCCATAAAACTCCAATAAGAAACATTCCTGTCGCTTATTCTGAAATACTGTCGAACTTAAACTATTTATTATAGCCGTATTTTTAACTATTGGCCTGAAACTTTCTCTTACATTGAACTTTATGACTTCTGTGACATGCCCCCGAGAAATGACACGGCTTCAAAACACACCTTGTATAATAACGAAATCAGTAACTACTTTAAATTTTACTGTCGTCTTAAACTTACGTCGTGTAAACCAGCCTTAGCCCACTTTTTATATAACACGGCCAATTTACAAAGAACTCTTGTCACGAGAGAATTTTAATTTTTCCTTAACGTTTTTTCGGGAAGATCCGGAAAAATGGGGGTCTTCGTTAATTGGTTGGAAATGGCGGAATAAATTCTGGGTATTTCGGTATATTATTGATGTATTGGTTACCTATTATTGTGTTCAATGGTTATTATTTAAGAGCAAAAAGTGGACAAATTATTACATATTAAAACTCATTTTTGTGATAAACTAGGTCATGTTTATATGCAGTATTTACTAGTTTAACAAACTTAATTCTAATAGAGATACGTTTTCGTTGCAACATCTAGTTTTATCCGCGACCCGCGCCGCGGTGACTGTCGCGCTGCTACCGATTATGACCCTATGAATATGTGCCTCTAGCAAGGCTTAAAACTAGTCGATTCTCGTCAAACAGTTATGTGAGTAAGCCGAAAACATAATAATTAATTTAGTAAGTCTCAAGAAAGTTATAATAATATAAACTAAGCCTAAAATCATTATTATCTTATTATTCCTATTAGTCCTAACTTCTGTCATTAGTCCATCAGTATATTATATGACCAGAGAATCAAATCTGACACAATAAAAAACAAAATATTCGACTAACTATTACATGTATAATAACACTTCCCCCAGCATCTAATTACCAACTATCCACGAGTTCTACTTACCCCATTTTAGTTCGCAACACAGAAATAAGGACAACTATACATCAAGCGACGCGTGCCACTGACATGCGATGCTAAAGATTAATCGCTCGACTTGTAATGGATGTCGCACCTTGAAAAGGATTATAGTATCTCTTTTGTTGGGTGTGTAATGTAATATTGTGTTTTTTGTTTTTTGAGGGGGTTGGCAGAAGTGTAAATAGATAGTGCTTGTGTAACAACACAAGCCTTGTTAGGCGTGAGCCGATTTTCAAATACGAAACATAATTATAGATCCCGTGCTAGTAGGGCTGATGCATATACGGAGACGCGGAAGACTTAATAGGCTGCTGGGGCTCCGGCTTGAAGTGCAGGAGAAGGAACGGGGTGGTTTTTATTCGATAAAAGTCTAACACTCTCTCGCGCCTAACCCGGGCGGGAAAAGTCATAGGATGATTTTGCCCATTCAAAAAAAAAAAAGTTTGATGCACGATGCTAAGCTGCGTATCATTCAACGGGTTGACGGGGCTCCGACTCGAAGAGCAGAAGTAGGGACGGGGTGGTTTTTAGTCAATAAGAGTCTGACACTCTCTCTCGCCTCACCCAAAGGGTTAAACGTCAATGGATGATTTTCCCCCTTTTAAAGCATAGAGTTTGGATTTTATTTAATTATAATATGAGGATGTACTTACAGAGTTTGTCAAGGTTATCTTACACGTTAAAAATGTCATTGTAACTAGTAAAATTAACTATAACTATACTCTCTATATCTCTACCTACCCCTCAAACGGTGCCAAGATGTATGAATCATGCCTCATTCATCTGAAATCCGACTAATCAAATATTTTGAATCCGGTCCAAGTTGAGATCTCAGAGATTTGCTAGCGACAGCTAGATATTATGTACAATTTAATATTATTAATTATCTAATGCCACACTCGACAGTTTATCGAACATAGTTAATATTTGACAAATTACCTATTATTATAACATAAAATAACATCACGGCTTTTATCCCCGAAGGGGTAGGAAGACGAGCAAATTATACCACTGTACAATGTAACACTCATTTTGCACTATATATGTTATGAGTCCCATGTAATAGGGGGTGAGCCTATTGCCATATACCGGGCACAATTCCAGACTCCGTGCTACTACTTTAATTTTTATGGAAAAGCCAGTAATACTTTGTCCGACCCGGGAATCGAACTCGAGACCCCTTGCCCGGCAGTCGCACTTGCGATCACTCGGCCAATGAGGTAGTCACCCTATTATTATAGAATATTGTAAAATAATGTCCATTATTGTATGTCTGTGATAAACTCATTCATTGCTGGACAGCTTTCAAGGTGTAGTCTCAAGCATCGTTGTAAAAATGTTTCCTAAGAATAGCGTATTAATTGATCGACTTGTTCAAGGTATTAAAATCATATTTTATAGGTATACTACTATTTTATGAGAATTTATTATACAATTTTCTATATTTCCACTGAATTTAACATAGTTTTAACCACATTTTGAAATAATATAAATAGGAGTTAGTGTTTATATTCTCAAGCCTTTATGGTACTAATGAAATTGGACAGAAATAGGACAATAGAATAGGACCATAACATAACTGTTATGGTCCTATTCTAGGTAGTTTTAAATGTTGTTATTGTAACCAATAACAACATTTAAAACTACCACTAAACTAAACTCATTGTTCCACTCTCATTTTACTTTAGACCTCATAATTTGATCTAGACATTATTTCGGCTCTTAGTCAGACCCAAAAGTTTAGAAATTTTAACTGGAAACACTTTGAAGGTGGAGTTTTGGAAAGTTTTTAGGTCCGTTACGAGTTAAGGTAACAATTGTTGAGGCGTATTTTGTCCCAGGTAGACTGGAGGAGTAGACTTTGTCTTGTCACCGACTGTTGAAAATGTCTAAAGGTGTATAAGTACGTATGTATAATTGTGACTACTTGTAAATCCTACTTATGGTAACTTCTTGATGAGTAGATGGCTTATTATTCGAAAGAAAAGTCTTTTATGGGGTAAGCCAGTGAACGAGCAGACGGATCACCTGATGGTAAGCAATCGGCATCGCCCATGGACACCTGGAACATCAAATGCGTTACAAGTGCGTTA